TATATTCCCTTATGATATTAGGTTACCCGTAACACAAAGAAAAAGAGCCGACAGATTAGTTTTGGGCGTAAATATGAGTGTTCATTGCATATAGTAATAACATGCTTTGATGTAAATTCCCAGGTAGTTGAGGCAGGTGGTATAGTATCAGGTGGTGTGAATTCACAGGTAGGCGATAGTGTTAGACGTGAATTCACAGTTAGGTGGTAGTGTTAAACTTGAATTGACAGGTAGGTGGTAGTGTTAGACGTGAATTCACAGGTAGGTGGTAGTGTTATGTAAAGCAACATAATCAACAAAGAAAGGGGGGGGGGGGGGGGTCCTGTATGTTTTAAAGCTACAAAGTCGCAGTGGTGGCCTAAGTCAGTATAACAACTGAGAGTTGGCCATGATGGCGTGAGAGTTGGCCATGATGGTGTGACAGTTGGCCATGATGTCGTGAGAGGTGGCCATGATGGCGTGAGAGTTGGCCATGATGGCGTGAAAAGTGGCCATGATGCAGAGAAAAAAAAGAAACGGATTTTCTTTGATTTTCTATAATCACACGGCACCACTATTTAAATAACTATTAAGAAACGTCCATATTACGACTCTCTGTCTTACCCCCCCCCCCCCCCCCCCCATTTAAAACATCCTGGCCTTAGTGTTGAAAACTGGATATTATTTTCATTGAAACAAGTGGACTTGCCTAATGTTTCAAATAAGATGAATCCAACATGGGATACAGTTTGACTTTAAGCCATTAAGTTAAAGTGTCGTTGGGGTTTATGTGAGCATAAATTAATTTTGTTGTTAAAATCTTATGCACCAAGTTGCACTAGAGCATCACAAAAACAGGAAAAATACAAAGGCGTATGTTTGAAAATATACACTAAATAAATGGGATCTTGTTCAAGTGTGAATGGTAATCTTCTTTAATCACGATACATTTAAGTTTTAGTACATTAAAATCAACTGGAAATAAATTTAGTATCGATTTACGAGCTTAGGTGAATTTAACCTAATCTAGATCTAGATTCTAGAACTAGAAATCTAATTTAAAGCATATAGATCTAGATCTATATCTAGTTATAGATTCTAAGCCTAATTTAAAATCAAGATGTTGACTAAGTGTTAAAGTAACATTAATATAGTAATGTGCAGACCTATTTCTCGAATATTTTCTCGAATCTAGATCTACTATTGTACTAAAATGCATGATACATCATTTTCTTTAAAAACTAGATTTCTAGATTCTAAACACATTGTTAGAATCATATTTTATAACTGTATTACTGTATTGCCTTACTGCATTGTTCAAGTTAATATTTATTATTTTTGCGAAAATATTTGTTTGGCTAAATCGCGAATGTTAAGTTCAACTACTGCTTTTATTTACTTTTTTAGTTCTTGTTATATAATCATCACAATGTTATGAAACAGCAGATGATAGAATATGCTGCGTCATGTTCTGTATTTAAGAAGGGTGATCCCTCAGGTCTTATCCACCAATCTCACTCTCGATATTGCTTTAAAATTCACAAGTTTGAAAACATTTGGCCACTTCATCAGTATTTCTAGATCAACATCGTCATCATCAGTAGTTGCCAGACTTGGACAGTCGCGAAGTCAGAGTTTCCGAAAAATAAATTCGTCTTTTAACTTTCAGAGTTTTAGATCTAGCTCTAGAAAAATGGGAGATACGCAATCGGGTATGCTACTAGATTATAATACTTGTAAAGAAATATTAATCTAGGTCTAGCAAAAATTATTCAGCGATCACTGTGCTAAGTCAGTGACAAGTTGCTAGTTAGTAGTTAGTGTGCTTAGGCCTTAGTGTTCGTTAGCTCAAGATAAGATTTAGGTGTTATTTACTAGCCCTATACACTATACAAGATAGGCCAATTCAATATGAATATAGGGCTCAAATATAGGCCTATCTATACTCAGATAGTAGATCTATATAAAAAATAAAAAATACTATTTATTTATTACTTGCTGCCTGCAAAATCTGCTTCCTACAAACAAGATTTAGATTTGATTAGTAGAGATCCAATAGTATTATTAAGTATTAAGATAAGAAGTAAGCAATCGAGCATGGCATCGCTTTCTGAGAACTCCCACCCTCTCGTTGTCCCACAATTTTGAGCCCCCTACTCGTAGGACAACCAGTGTTTCTTCCAGACTTTTTTCTCGGGGGGGGGGGGGGACGGGACACAGTTGACTTTCTTTGGGGGCGGACACTGTTAAAAGTATATATTTCATTTCGCTCAGGGCTCCGGGGGGGGGGGGGGGGGGTAGCTGCCGCTTCCCCCCCCCCCCCCCCCCCCCCAAAGAGATGCCTGGAAGAAACTCTGAGGACAATCCCTTATTAATTTTTATTAAAATTTAAATTTTTATAAAAAGGAATAAACGTAATATACTTACCTGTAGTAGGCTGAATAGTAAGTAGTATTATACTTTATTTTACGATAATACCAGCCCTTGATAGTTTGAGCACTCCAGGCTATTACAGTATTACTATTTTTTGGCATTTTTAGCATGGACATGTTTAACTACTGAACTGTTAAATAATGATATATTATGGGTTTTATATTGTTAAGCTTTGAATTAAAATTATCCTATGCCCTACATTAATAAGAGTAATGTGCTTAAAAAATGTATTGCTTTCTATTTTATTGCATCATAAAATAGTACTCAGCGTAGCAAGTAAGCAAGTTTTCACTAATTTGTACTTCTGCTAGTGTTTGAAAAGTGTTAAACAATAATGAATTTAAATGATTCCCATCTTACTTGTAGAGACAATGGTGAAAAAAATGGTTTGTGCTGCTGTTCTATTGCCAACCATGTTCTATTTAGGGCTTGCAGATACAACTGGCATTGAGAGGCCAGGTAAAGTTAGACTTACTGATGAGGAATGGAAAGCGAAATTGTCCAAACAGGAATATAGTGTTTGCAGAAAACATGGAACTGAGCAGGTTGGAATATTTTGAAATATCACTTCACAAGACTTCTTAAACTTAATGTTCTTTAATAACTGTTGGATGTACAATGTTAAAGAAAAAATACTTTTACCATTACTTTTTTTTATAGTTTAACAGTTTAAGCTGTACATTTTTTAAATGTGACTTTAATGTAATAATTTTTCATTTTACCTGCTTTGCTTCAGGCATGGACTGGGGAACTATTGGATAATAAAGCAAAGGGGGATCTATGTTTGTGCATGTTGTGGAACAGAACTCTTCAAGTATGCAGCTTAAGATTTTCAACTGTTTATATAATTTTACAAAAAAATACAATTCAGTTCCCTTAAATCTGTACAATTTTTATATTATAAATAATTTTTGTTTTTTGACAAACTTTTGATAATTTAATTGTTTTCTTCAAAAGTTCTTCTACCAAGTTTGATTCTGGGTCTGGCTGGCCATCGTTTTTCGATGTTCTTAAGGATAAAGACAAGCCAGAATTAGCTGCAGTTGACTATAGAACTGATGAAAGCAGTAGAATGGTGCGCACTGAAGTGTTGTGTGGAAAGGTAGTACACTTTGTTCTTAACAGAATCAGTAACAATCATACATCAGTTTTTTTTAAACAAAATTTTAAAGTTTTTTTTTGTTTAAGAAAAGTTAGTTTTCATAAAAAACATAGTACTAATGTGTAAAATTCCATGTTTGAATACAGTGTGATGCTCACCTTGGTCATGTATTTAATGATGGACCTAAACCAACTGGACTGCGTTATTGTATCAACAGTGTTTGTCTCAAGTTTAAACCAGAATCAGCAAGCAGTAAAAAGAGTGAATTGTGATTTTTATTTATGAATTTATACACACCATTTCAGTCTTTCTCTTGCTCAGTAACATATTTAGATCAGACTTTTATTTCTACTCCACTTACCAATACTTGAATTTCTTATTTAGTAATGATATATTAACCCCTCATTAACAGGTAATATCTTTTGTAGCCATTGTTTGCCAGTATGTAATATATGTATGATTATTATTTAGTAATTTATTTGCAGCCTTTATGTAATGGTTTCAAAATATTTGATGTGACAATAACTACATCAGTCTCACAGCATTAAACATTTTGTTTATAAAGTGGTGTGTGATTTTTTTTATTTCTTTTTCATAGACAATGTCATACATAGGGTCTAATTAAAAAAATCACAAATTTTCAATGACAATCAAATAAATAATAATGCTTCTGAAAAATCTTTAATCAGATAACCATAGAAAAAATTAAGACATGTAAGCCAAATATGTCAATTTAATTAGCTTTCTTTATAAACCATATGTTATATCCAAATACTTTTAAAACACTTTTTTTTTTGCAACTCAAGACAAATATTCAAATAGTCTAATAAGATTTTTTTTAGGTTTTTCAAACAAAAATAATACTTAATTCTAAATAGTAAATCCAAATTTTAAACATTTTGATATTTATCAAAACAGACAATATGCAAACATTCACACTAGACTTTAAAACATACAAACAGACATACATAGTTTGTAACAATTAAATGTTAATAACTCTGCTGAGCTTTTGTACTCTGTTTAAAAGAATGTCACCTTGCTTGATACAGTTCTGAAAGTAAAAAAATAATTGTGGTAAAGATAAAGAAAAATTCAAGTAAAACTGCACAAGTAGGCACCTCAAGCTGATAATTTAAAATGGTTCATGTTTTGTACTGTTATGTCAAGAACTAGAGATTCAAAGATCATGGCTACCAAATTTTTTCATTCATCTCAAACTGCAAATAACTAATATTAAACATTAGGATTACTTATTGAATAAAAACCACTGAATTTATTTTTAAGCATCAGTTGCATGATCACTTTATATCCAGGCTATTCAAACCCTGGCCTTTCTGTACCATTCATGGTATTTTGTCACCTATTAGCGTGTCAGGTGCTTAATTTTAAAATAAACACTTTTAAAACTTCATTTGATCCCAGTTTTTAAAGTATGCAATCACTTTTTATTATAGAAAACAGTTAAAAGTTAATATGCCTAGGGCTTTACTGAGACAAAAAATGAGTTTTTAGGTTAGTCTGAGGTACTTAGTAAATGTAATAATTGAAAGCTAACACAGTAGAATTGTTTGGTTAATATGCACCTACCTGATACTGCCAGTTTTTGCTGTCTGGTCTATTTGTCTCTACAATTCCACCAACTTTGTCAATTTTACAGTGCAGACGGCCAGCAGCTATAAACCTAGACAGCTCTCTAGAATGATAAATATAGATTTTTCATGTGAAGTTATACAGCCAGTATGAACTGTATATGCACTAAGATTAAAGTTTAATTTTGTAATGAAAGAGTAGCCCTGACTTACTGATCAATAAAAGCAACTGTAACACCAAACGATTTGGCCATGTAAGTTAAGGTTAGACTGCGATATGACTCCAACAGTTGGGCATAGGCCATGATGCGCATTTCTCGAACATAGTAGGAATAGTGTGAGGACAGGAGCCGATCATACTTCATTAGGTTTTCAACTTCCGCTAGAAATGAAAATTATTTATTTATCCAGAGCTTGACAACAATTTCAAAAGATTGTTAAATAGCTTATGAGAATATTCTAACAAGGATAAAATGCTTTTAAAACTGAACTAACCCAATGCAGTGAAAAAGTCGGCGTACAGGCAGTCATACAATGAGAACAGAAATTTACGAATGTTTGGCAGACTGTGAAGAACTTCTAGTATTTCAGATCCTTTGACAACCTTGATTTAAAAAATAAACAACTTTGGGTTAATTCTAAGTTATTTCTAAAAAATAAAAGTTAATTTCATTATAAGGAAGCTGGTCAGTATTGTCATAGCATATCATGATTATGAAATAATCTGTTATTGTTATCAAATACCCTTTCTGTGTTTTACCTTTTCTCTGAGTTCTGGCCGTTCCAGAGCTATCAAACAACAGAGGACAGTGTACGTAACAAACTGTTGATACTCCATCAGCTCATACGATGTGAAAGTTGCTATTGTGTCAAGAAAAAGGGCTGCTGCAGACTTGAAGTCTCTAATGGACATATTGTATAGAGCTCTATAAACCTTCAGCCTGTTGCGACGATCCCAATCACCACCTTCATCAATTAAACTGAAATAACAAACCATTTGTTAAACATAAAACAAAATATTTAACAACAGAATAGGAGGAGAAATTTGTTCAAATAAAAAGTTCTTCTCACAGATAAAGGTGCACACAAAAAAATACAATGAAAATAATACTAGAATTGATATAAAAACTAACATTTACCTTTGTGCCTTCTCAAGATTTTTAGTGATGAGATCATGGTCATTGTAGAACAGCCCAATTCTTATTAAATGAAAGACAATGTCCAACCTATACCCCAGTGCCACAGTTTTATCATAGGTCTTTCGAAATTCTGTGAGGGCATTTGCCTGAAATATAGGTTAAATATTTTCATAAGTACTGCTATTTACTTTCAACAAAGTCAAGTCAGTGTAGTCTATCAAAATATTTATTGAGTGTGATACAGGACACTGCACCCTATCTGCTTGTCAACTGAATATATGAATCTAGTCACTGGGTAGTAAGCTAAACTTCCCCAGGTGTGGCCAAGTTGGTATTTTTCTACTTCTAGTAGAACATCTACTGTTACATTAAGTCTAGTTAGTAATTGTTACGTTCCTTCTATTATGTACATCTTAGTGATGTCCCTTAAATTTAAATGTGTATTCTGTGTAGAGTGTAAGCTGTGTGTTTACATCTGGCTGTTTTAATTTTAAACAAAGATCTTGTAATCAGACCTGTTTTCTACATTCTAAATAAAGTAATATGAGCTGATTAACTTGTCATGATAAAACAAACCTTATCTCCAATTTGACAAAGGTATTCCGCCTTTGCTAACATACTATCCCTAATTTCAGTTTCTCCTAAGCTCTTTTCTGCATCTTTAATGGCCTCATCTAGCTGCTTCAACTTCTCTTCATTAGCAGCCTTCATTGCATTTAGAAGGGCTTCATCTTTCTTCCATCCCAGCTCTTGAGAAACTTCTTCATAAAAAGGTGCCATATCTAGATAATTTTAGTAAAAGTTATTAGTTAATAAAGTACATAAAATGCGGTTCATTTTTCAAAAAATGTTATTTATTAAATATGTTAGGGGATATAAAAATAATATTCCTGTTCCTCTGAGGTGTAGAATGATTGGACTAATTAATAAATGTTTTTTTCACAAGGGCTAATAGTCAAGAACTAGTTCTTACATTAAAACCTAGAGGTTTTTCTACATAAGTGTGATATTCAAATCAATTAGATAGCCACACTACAACCTCAATATTCCTTATTTCCATCCTTAACAACTTTAAACTAAAAGGTACTTGTCTCACTCAATTCACTGCCAGTAATTATGTTGATATTTAGGCCTCCTGATTGGTTAATGATACTAATGAAGTGTCTTAGACGTCTCAGTTAGTGTAATAACCAGTGTAATCAGACAAGTTAATAATGCCTAACATTTTCTCACTTTCAAAGACAAAGTGGCACTTTATCATCTGCATCTCACATTTAACCAAAACCCAGAGGCTCAACTAGTTAGTAGTATTAGATAGATTTCTTATACATGGGCTACAACTTATTAGGCATTAGGTAAGAAAAAAACTAGATCTAGACAATATCTAGTCACAAGACAAAAGTATTAAAATTATAGTATTAGGCCTAATTTTAGTAACTTAGAAGTTTTGGATGATTGAAGATACCGGTGTACTATAAGACGAGACTCATCGAAAAATAGGTGTGGTAGGTTGTTACTAGTTGTTAGTATTATTGTAATCTCGACTTGTTTTATGGTTAGACGTATGGTCACTATACTATGGTGGGACTTGCACTAGCCTGACTAGGCCAAGGCCTTGAGGGGTCAGCATCGATTAGTTAGGCCTAGTAGTAACCTAGTTATTAGTAGTTAATATTAGACCTACTGGTAATCTATCGTTTTGGGTACGTAAAATCGCCCGCGACTAGTAATGTGAAAAACAGGTGACTCCTTAAATTTTAATAATTATTTCACATTTTGAGGAGGATTTATGTTTAGAAAAATACAAAAATGTTTCCTTGTTTCATCTATGTACCTGTTTTTAAACAATTGAATTAAAACTTTTCAGTAATAAATGAACACCAGCGATGTTTCCAACAGATGCAACCACGCTCATTTACTATAGCAGCCATCTTGTTAAAGCTTTATTTTTATAGACATATAGCGCGAGATCCAGGCGGAAGTCACTCTATTTTACAAATGGCTGCTGTTTATATAGCAAATCTTGCTTGCAGACACTGCTGTTTAAAGTTAATATCTGGCCTATATTGATATATTTAGCCATTGATTTAGGTTTATTATTCATTTATCTATATTATTTGACACAAACATATCGCAATATACTTCTATTACAGCCTTGACAATGAGGTAACGTTTTCGTACATTAATAGCCGCGGGCGATTTTACGTACCCAAAACGATAGATTACCGACCTACTTAATATCTACTTATTATATAATATATATTAATAATATATTAATATATAGATTCTAGATCTAGTTACTAGAGTTAGTCACACTCAACTAAGTTAGTAGTTAGTTAGTTTAGTTACTAAGTTACTTGTCTTTTAGTTAGCACAAGACATGTATGTGTATTTTAGTTAACTACCTGTAGTGAGTAGTGTAACCTAACACCCCTTTTTTAAAGAAGATTCTATTATTGGACACTGGTGTAAAAAATCCCCCGAAGTTAAAAAAACATACAAATTCACAAAAGACAAACAAAACAAAAAAACTAACTGTTGGCTTTGATTTCTTCAAGAAGTTTCTTTTTTAAATCCTTGTCATTTTTGTATTTATCGGTTCCAAGTAAGAATCGAAGCTGAGCGTGCTCAAGATTTGGATTTTTTGCCAAACCCTCGTCTTCAAGATTTTCAATAGGCATTTTTTATCGTATTTTAGACTTAAATCTAGAATATTTGATTCTCTAGATCTTTGTTACAATGATTAGACGATTTTCCAAAGGTTTAGCTAAATTTACTAAAGTAACGCTTCCGGTTTCAATAGTTGTCTAACCTTTAACAACCTACCGGAAAACCGTATTGGTTTCTATTAGAGACTAGATACCAAAACATACGGAAAATATTTGTTAACAAAAAACGAGGTCCTTTGAAACATGAAATAACCGAATAGGCCTATAGTACCCATCTCAGACTAGATGAATTGGAGTTCATCTGTTGCCCTTGCCTAATGTAGTCTGCTATGTGGGCCTATTTTTGGGCGGTTTTTATTTTACCAGACTTGGGATGGGGTAGGTAATCAGGATTGGGAGCCTCAAACCTGTGAAAAGTGAAGGGAACACAAGATTTTGGGGAAAAAACTAATCCTGCGCTTTAACGCCCGGCCACGCTGTCTTTTTTATGCACTAAATAAGGTCTAAAGCAACGATGTCCATACATGCAGGAAGCGCGGTCTAAACTTTCATGCGATCTGTGGGCATACAAATAAAAAGACGAGAGTTGTGGAAATTAACGGTGCAATCTTCTTTATCATGTGGGTTGTAATTCAGATAGTTACCTTTTAGACTTAAACGGACAATATGCCTGCAGATTTGGATGTCACGCTAGTCGTTTTCAAAAACCTTCACTATTTTTTTTAAAAAACTTCTAACTGACCATTGTAGCTTGTTCAATCTTTGTACTTTATAGCTGTAGCTAATAAATCTTCAAAAAAAAAAGCGCCTCTGTCATGAAAAACGGTCCACTGTGAAAGCAATCGCCCACAAATGGCGCCAATAAAAAATCTTTGTAGATTTTATTTGAAAATTTAATTTTTTTTTTTAAATTGCGTGATTGTAATATAAATTAAACTCAATGTGACGAAGTAGGTTACTTTACCATAGTAGCCTATATTTAAATCATTTTCGACAACATAATTAAAAACAAGACTATTTTTTTTTTTTTTTTAAAGCAGCTATGACAACGCAATCCACTCACTGGTATTATAGTTTTATTTTTGCTAC